GCAGGAGCAGAAAGTCTCATCTTTCTCCTGCATAACTACTGGTAGTTTTGAACTGCTGAGCTTGAGGTTAGCAGCCCAATTTATAACCTCTATGATACCTGCGCTAGCAGGATGGCAAAAGCAACCAGCCGTTTAGTGGCTACAGTCATCTTATTTGCATTGTTGTTGTTGTTGTTAAGTGCTGTTGAGATAGTTCCTACTCATAGCAACCCTATATGGGGTTTCTGAGGAGCAGCTGGTGGGTTTGAACCAGTGACCTTGTGGTTAGTAGTCCAGCGCTTATCCTACAGTGAATGAAACAGTCATAGTAAACTGTCCAATCCATGCAAGGATTTTACATACCTTATTTGCATAATCCCAACAAATCATTTTGTGGATTTACAAGACTATGGCTAGAAAAGTTATATAAAAGCACTTCACAGCACCACCTTCAGACAATCACAAAGCTACTCCTTCATCATGAAATGATTTCCAAATATCTCCAAGATTTTATCTCCATTTTGTTGTTGTTAAGTGCCATCGAGTCGATTCTGATCCATAGCAACCCTGTATAGGATTTCTAAGGAGCCGCTGGTGAGTTTGAACCACCAACCTTGCAGTTCAAATGACTATGCATTCTGATGCTTTAGCCCACAGAGCCACACTTTTATCTCCATAGTAATCTGAACTTGCTACTTTATTTCCATAACAATGTGAAATTTTGATCAGAATAATTATAACATTTATATTCTTGAGGACTAATTTCACATTTTATTCACATTTGCATTCCAAAATATTATAAAGTATCTGATACACATATGTTATGTTATGTTATGTTATGTTATGTTATGTTATGTTATGTTATGCTATGTTATGCTATGTTAGCTGCAGTCAAGTGGGCTTTGACCCATAGCAATGCTTGTACAACAGAAGAAAACATTGCCTGGCTTTACTGAACCTTCACAACTGTTGGCATGCACCAATCCATTGTTGTGGCCACTGTTCATTGGAGTGCTTTCCAACCTAGGAACTCATTTTCTAGATTGATACAGTTGTAATTCATAGCAGTAAATCACTAGGCCTCTCTTAGTCTGGAAACTGCACTGAAACCTGTCCACCATGGGTGATAGCACTGAAATCCTGGAGGTGACCTCACTTTCAGCATTGGTACACAAGTCATCACAGTATAAAAACTGGCA